ATGATAGCCTGATGGGTTTTTCTTTGTATATGATCTTTTTTCTCTCTCTAGCTGTTTTTAAAAGTCTGTCTTTATCCTTGATCTTTGCCATTTTAATTATTATATGTCTTGGTGTTGTCTTCCTTGGGTCTCCTGTGTTGGGAGATCTATGCACCTCCATGGCCTGAGAGACTATCTCCTTCCCCAGATTGGGGAAGTTTTCAGCAGTTATCTTCTCAGTGACACTTTCTGTCCCTTTTTTCTCTCTCTTCGTCTTCTGGTAACCCTGCAATGTGAATATTTTTCCATTTGGATTGGTTCACACAGTTCTCTCAATATTCTTTCAGTCCTTGAGATCCTTTTTTCTCTGTGCCTCAGCTTCTTTATATTCCTCTTCTCTAATTATTATTACATTTACCATCTCTACTACATCTAATCTGCTTTTAAATCCCTCCATTGTATGTTTCATTTCAGATATGATTATTAACAATTGATTCTCCATCCTATATTTGTCCCTGACTTCTTGAGTATTTTTCTGTACCTCCATGAGCATCTTTATGATTTTTATTTTGAACTTTCTTTCAGGAAGATTGGTGTGTTCAGTTTCACTTGGTTCCTTTTCACTTGGTATTTGTGAGATTTGGTTTGACCAGGTTCCTCTGACGTTTCATGTTTGTATGTGGCGCCTTCTAGTGCCCAGAGGCTCTAGTCTCTGGAGCCGCTCATCCCCTGGAGTGGTGTTGGGGGTCGCAGAGGAGCAGCACTGGTGTTGTTTCATGAGCTCTGCTCTGTTCTCCAGGTGTATGCAGTCTGGTGCAGCTTTCTTTCCTGTTCGTCTTTCAGGATTATTTGTATTAACTATATTTTCATATAATATATGGTTTTGGGAGGAATTCTGTCCCACCTCTCAATCCACCATCTTCAATCTCTCCCTTCAGTCTTATCTGCTTTTTATTAAAGGCAATTCAAAGGAAGATTATTCTTGATTACAAAAAAAGCTGATCTCATTATGCTTGGTCTGATTATTTGCATTTGTATAGTAGGAAAAGTGTTAGTTTATTTTGTGGGCTTTCTTAAGTTTGCTTTCATAAGTTAAATTTTCATAAATGATTTTAGACTTTGAAAAGCCTGTTATTTGCTAAACTAAGAGTAGGAAACCTCACCTAAGAAACTCTCTCTCATCCAAAATGTCATATTGTATTAGACTGTCTTTTCTGTGGAAATAGGGTCTCAGTATTTCTAATACTTTTTCTAATGAGAATGAAGGATTTTTTTCCCATGTCTGTTTTCAGCTGGATGCAAAATTAAGATTTCAGAAATTTAGTGGAAATGTAAAATTAATGTTGTTTGATATTTATTTTCAGATTGAAAATATCAGAAGGAAGCATAATTATCTGCCTTTCATTATGGAATTGTTAAAGACTCTAGCAGAACATCAGCAATTAATACCACTAGTAGAAAAGGTAAATATTTTACTGTTGAATATTTAAATTAAATTTACATTCCCCCAAAACAAAAAAATTTTTGACTTGAGGAGAGGTAAAATCTGTTGAAGCTTTATTTTTCTTTTTTTTGCCATTACCTATTGTTTTACATTCTAAGTGAGCATTAGTTCAACCTGATACTGTAAAATAAAAATAAGGGATTGCCATACTGTCTTAACCTTCCACAATCCTGGTGTCAAGAACTCAGGTTGTGCAATATTAGAAAGAATTTAAAACATTTGCCATCTTTTAAACTGAAAATAAATTTTTAAAGTTAATAATTGATCGATACACAATCTCATGAAGGTTTCACATGAGCAGCATTGTGGTTACTACATTCCCCCTATTATCAAATCCCCACCACATACCCCACCCATTACAGTCACTAGTGTAGTAAGATGCTATAGAGTCATCACTTTTCTTCCCCGTGCTGTTCTGCCTTCCCCATAACCTACCTATATTATGTGTGGTAGCTATAATGCCCCCTAACCCCTTCTCCCTCCCCTTTGGTAACTGCTAGCTCCTTCTTGGAGTTTTTGAGTGAGTGAGTCTCCTACTGTTTTGTTCTTCAGTTTTGCTTCATTGTTCTACTCCACAGATGAGTGAAATCATTTGATACTTGTCTTTCTCCGCCTGGCTTATTTCACTGAGCATAATATCCTCTAGCTCCATCCTGTTGCTACAAATGCTAGGATTTTTCTTCTTATGGCTGAATAATATTCCATTGGGTATATATAGCACATCTTCTTTATCCATTCATGTACTGATGGACCCTGAGGTTGTTTCCATATCTTGGCTATTATAAATAGTGCTGCGATAAACATAGTGGTGCATATATGTCTTTTTGAATCAGGGATCTTGTTTTCTTCAGGTAAATAAATTCCTAGGAATGGAATTCCTGGGTCAGATGGTATTTCTATTTGTAGTTTTTTGAGGTACCTTCATACTGCTTTCCATAATGGTTGAACTAATTTACATTCTGACTAACTGTATGAGGCTCCCCCTTTCTCCACATCCTTACCATCATAAAAGAATAGATTTTTAAAGTTTAATTTGGCAAAAATTTGAATTATCATAGAATTTAGAATGAGAGTGAATATTGAAGGGAGAAATAATGTAGCTTAGACTAAAATAACTTTCTTATTCCTAAGCTAATATTCTTTCTATGAGGATAAATTATCATAGGTTAGTGAAAAATTCTGATTTCTAAGATTTTTTTTCTTTAATATAAGGCAGTTAAAGTAAAATACTTGTTGAAACAATGAAATACCATTAAATTTCTTTTACATTTATGCTTTAATAAGTATTTCTGAAAGTAACCATTGCTGAGTACTCTTTAAAATACATGTTATCTGGCCCATTCCCAGATACTCTGATATAGGGGAAGGAATCTTTAAATAAGTTACCCCAAGTGATACTAATGCAGCTGGTCTATATACCACATTTTGAGAAACAGTTTGAGAAAAAACTACTAGACATATAAAATTTTAGACCATTAAGTTAAAGACCAGAATACATGGTAGGTATATTTTTCTTACTAATTTTAAAGTTTATGAAGGAAAGATACATTTTAACCCACTTGTTTATATCATAATTTCTAATATGAGGTGAATTAAGGTATTTGTGTATACCCTACTACCAAGATACTAAAATATCTGTTTTGACATTTAGCATTATATGCAAAAATTACTGCAGATCTCTTTTCATTTTTTTAAAAAATTTTTTTATTGAAGTATTATTGATATACACTCCTATGAAGGTTTCACATGAAAAAACAATGTGGTTACTACATTTACCCGTATTATCAAGTCCCCACCCATAGCAGGCATTGTCCATCAGTGTAGTAAGATGCCACAGATTCACTGTTTGCCTTCTCTGTGCTACACTGTTTTCCCTGTGAACCCCACACTATGTGTACTAAACATAATACCCCTCAATTCCCTTCTCCCTCCCTTCCCACATGCCCTCCCACACCCCTCCCCTTTGGTAACCACTAACTGCAGATCTCTTTTCCATATAGGTTTTTCTGTTCATGTATTTCAGGGCATTAAAGTTAAAAAAGCTCAAGAGGGGAATGTGATTTCTTAAGGTGTAGATGAATACTAAAATTGCTTGGTTAACAGAATACCTAGATACTGTGTTCTGTGTATGAAACATTATGAAATATTTCTCTTCAAATAATTAAACAAACTAATAATATAGACTGTTGTGCTAAAACATGTGATATGTTGTATCAAATTTTAAGTGTACATAATAGTATTAGGGATCAAATCAATGTTACCAGAAAAATTAAAAATGTGTATATTTGCTTTAAAATTGGGTATGAATAAATTTTTTGGTGCCAATTGGGAAGACACTATTCTTTTTAAAAATGTTTTTGAGATGGTAGCAATAAAATGTACAAATCTGAGTATACAGCTCAATGAATTTTGATGTGTATACACTCATGTAATTGTTACCGAGATTGAAATATCAAGCTTTCTCACTAATTTTTTTCCCCTTTCAACTATTTCACCCATTCCCTCTTTTCTCCTCCCCTTTGGCAACCATCAATCTGTTCTCTGTGTTTATGAGCCTATTTTTGTTTTGTTTTTTGGTTCCACTTACAAGAGATATCACATGGTATTTATCTGTCTTAATCTGTCTTCACATAGCATAATACACCATAGGTCCATCCATGTTGCAAATGACAGGATTTCCTTCTTTGGGAAGGGACCATTCTTGTTTGATTTTAATGTCACTATAACCCAAATTTTTGTAAAACATCGAACAGCTTATTCAGCTTTTGCATTAGAACTGAAATTCCTTTGTTCACATTATTTTGGACACGAGGTGGCAGTATATGAATGCCTAGTGGCAGTGGAACACCAACTTCGTCTGTTCTTGAGTTTGCATTTGTTTTATTGAAGAGGTAATTGACCTTCTAGCTTTTGCCTATTTCCTCCAAACTGTTCTTTGATTAATAGTTGCATAAGCAATATTAAAATGTATTTATTACTTCATGTATACGATAGCTGTTATCCCCTTAGATCCTGAAGGGAATTCAGATTTATCATTTGCTTAAAATTTCCATCAAACATTTAGCTGAAGCTGTATTCCAGCACTGTTTTACTATGTGGATGTACACATAATTAATACACATTCTCTTCTATTAAGCAATTTGTGATATAGTTGGGGATTGGAATAAATAAATTACAGTACTGTGCTGAATAGTGTTATTCTGATAAGTGCCTGAACAAAGTCATGCTGAAGACCCGGGGGAGCAAAGGGTAGCTCCTAGATAACTGTGCCACATAAAATTTCACATCCACAGAATTTTAAATGTGTAGTTAGAATTAAATACTTAATCTTTGTCAATAAATCCTCTTCCTTAGCACAAATATATTTTGGTTCATCATATTTTGAAAAAATAAATCATAATGTATTGAAGTTCTACTGATAAATCCAAATGTTAAAAATTAAAAACGACAATAGATTCAGATAAGATTTCATAATTATATATTATATGAAGGCTTATAATGATAGTTCCTCAATAGTAATACCTCTAGGAAAAATTACATGTAGAATTTAGAAATGGATTATTAAGTTGAAATGCTCCTCCCAACCCCCCATGCCAAGAGAAAGTAGAATAAGGGATACAAACATGAAAGGGGTGAAAGGAACCCAATAGGAGAGATGTGGCTACTTTAGGCAGTGTTGCTAAATCCCAAACCTGTCTAGAGTCAGATTTTTGAGTAACAGACCTGTGATGACATGAAAGTGTTTGAGCTATGGAAATCTTTTCATTTTACAGAATAGTAGAGATGAAGATTTTGACTATCCCAAGGGCATATGGCTATAATAAATTAGCTTAAGGTCTTACAAGTGTTTGTTTTTGTTACATGAGACTTCTACTCTTATCTGATGAGTTCATTGAATATACATTGTGTAAAAACTGCTCAGGAGGTAACCTAAAATATATATAGCTATAAAATTTCTTGTGCTATATACCAAATCTGTTCCTTAAAATATAAAATCAGCTGGATTAATGGGAACTTTTACTTATTCAGGTATACTTATAATTCTTTTAAGATTTTTATCTCAGCTTTCATCATGTAATTTTAATGTCTATCCCAAGTTATTAACAACCATCAATTACCTACCAAAATGTAAAATTATAGTTCAGTTGCTTTTGAGGCTTCAAAACTACTTCATACTATTGAATTGTCACATTTTGCTAAGTCATTATCATTCAATTGGAACCAAATAACTAATTTTCAGAACTTAATCCCATTCCTTAATGGAAATAAGATAGAAGAATAGTTAAATTATTCACAATAATGTCTATATTAATATCTATGATTACAGAATTATCTAAGTCAGCAGTTTTTAATATCTCATTGGTGTATTATGTAGAAGGAAAGTATTTCTTACCAGTATACTTTTCCATGTATTTAAAAACATGATAGTATTTTTTTAATTTTTTAACAAAGGCAGAACAGAATAGAGGCTGTCAGTTTAATTAGCTGGTGATTTTAGGCAAGTTATTTTCTTTCCTATAGTACCTATTTTCTTATCTGTAAATTGGTAATCATACCTATTGCACAGTCTTGAGGATTAATGAGATCATATCTGTAAAGTACATAATAAGTGCTCAATAAACGATAGTAATTCTTTTTAGCTTATTTTATTTAACACATCCTAATTTTATCTCAGTTATATAGTTTAATATATGTATGGATACTCTGCGTTATATTTTCTTGTTCATTTAATTATGTTGTAAAGGTGTTGTCATAAACTAGTAAATTCATTCTCATTAATCCTATTAAATATTATGTATATGGGCATACCTCAGAGATACTGTGGGCTCGGTTCCAGACGACTACAATAAAGTGAGTATTGCAATAAAGTGAGCCAAATGAATTTTTTGGTTTCCCAGTGCATATAAAAGTTACATTTACACTATACTGTGGTCTAATAAGTGTGCAATAGCATTATGTCTAAAAAAACAGTGTACACCTTAATTAAAAAATATTTTATTGCTGAAAATTGCTAACAATCATCTGAGCTTTTAGTGAGTCATAATCACTGATCACCAATCACCAGAACGAATATAATAATAATGCAAAAAGTTTCAAATATTGTGAGAATTACTACAATGTGACAGAGACATGAACAGAGCAAAAGCTTTTGGAAAAACACAAGTCTATTGATACAACTCTATTGTGTCAGTAGACTTGCTCAGGACAGTGTTGCCACAAAACCTTCAATTTATAAAAAATGTGTTATCTGTGAAGCATAATAAAGTGAAGTATAATGAAACAAGGTATGCCTGTATTTAGAGTATATTCAGAGATCAGTATGAAAAGAAATACTCTTTTGATTTTAAATCACATCTAAAATCAAATTGTGTTTTCAGTTTTTGGAAATAAAACTTTGAGAAATCATATATATATATATATCAAATTACAAATTATACTTTTAACTCAAACTGTTCATGCATGCAATTTTACTATTTTTTTATGTGATACATACAATGCAACTGCTCTATATAGTCTAAGGCATAGCACTCAATTTTATCATACAGTTGTATAATAGATTACCTAATGCATTATAAATTTTTTAAATTATTCTAATTGCCCTATTTTTTAATCAAAGACCTTTTTTCTTAATTGTATAATAGCACAAGCCTAACTTATTTGTTCCTTCCTGATTCAAGCGTCATAGTGGAAAGGACACTATATTCTAGTAGTATAAAATCTTGCTCTCAAAGTGTCATCTGAGGATCGGCAGAAATGGCATCACCTGAGAGTTGGTTAGAAATTGAGAAACTCTGGCATTTTTCTGAATCAGCATTTAAACAAGGTCCCCTGGTAATTGGCATGTACACTGAGAAGCATTGCTAGAGAACATGGGTCTTTTAACCTCTGCTGAGGTTGTATTATATACTAATTGTGTGCCTTTGGTCAAGTTTGATAACATCTGTAAGCTCTAGCTTCTTTATCTGCTAAAAAATAAAATAGAATTGCTGTGTTCAAGCTGTATAATTTTATGGGAATCAAAAGAAACGTGTAAACATTTTTTTTAGGTCATGTAAGTAATGTTTGTCAATTGGATATATGTAATTGTTTAGTGACATTGTAGTACTCATATGATACTCATTTAAACTTTTATGTCAAGCTCATTATTCAAATATGCAGAAACTAATACAGGGTTTTTCTTATACTCAGTTGAATGAAAAAATGGGTATCTATGTAATAAATACATTGTTTCAAAATATTTATTAATGAATATGACTATGGAATGAGTAATCTGTATTTTTAAATTATTACAATTATAATAGTACATTTCAACTTCAGATAAGAAAGAACTATAAATCAAACGTGATCCTTTTTTATTAAGGGCAAAATATAACTGTAATTTTCCAAGAGTAGTTTGTTGCAAGTCTCAAGTTGACAAAAGATAATGCTCTAGAAATCTTGTGAACAGTACAGTTCAAGCTTTTTAGCTTAAGAATACCCTCTTAGACACACTTTGTTTTAATATGATCTAAAACTTTTAAGGTTTTATAGCATACTATCTTTATTTTTCTAGGCAAAAGAAAAACAGAATGCAAAGAAAGCACAGGAAACCAAATGAAGAAGATGCTTTGGGGCGTGTACACATTTCTCCTTCTACACTTATATTCATGGAAACCATTAAGTATAAAGAACTTTGAGCAACATCTTAATTGACTCAGTGCACATTTGGCAATATTACCAGTCTGTCTTGTCTTTAATGCATGAATTCATAAACTTTTTCCCTACTGCATCATGTGCATGTAGTACATATTGAATAAAAGCAATATTAAGAGTGTTTGCCCAAATTCCATTATTTGATACTGGATCTGAGAACTTTGTTGGTTCTCTAGATAAATAACTACCATAGTGAACTAGAAAATGCACAAAAAATGATATTCTCTGCTTGTAATTATTGTAATTAATCAATCTTTTGATCTTTTAGCTCAGTTTAAATGCTTTAAAATTTATAAATGTAACATCTTGATTAAACTGGATCTCTTGTTTCTCTTAGTAGAAAGAACTCAATATTTCTGTGTTTGCTAATCTAAACATTTGAGCATTTTAAAACTGAATTTTATCTCCTATACTATTTGAAAAAGTATGATTTTAAAGCAAATCATTTGTAAAAGGACAAAGTATAGTTTCTAGTGATTTTCACTGCTACCAGGAGAAAAAGTAATAAACATCCCTATTTTTATTTTAGCAGACTTTTGGGGTTATTATGCACTGTAGAATTGTTTCAAGAATGTATGAATATTATACTTCAAAGCAAAATTTCAGGTTCAGAACAAGTTATAAATCAAAGATTTTTGGTGTTGCTCTCAGTTTGGTAATACTTTTTCAAGCTGTTAAGCTGTATCTTTATAAAAAACAATCGGAGGTTTGGCATTTCAGGCTGTCTGCTTTTTAAGAAAAGGATGATGGTGGTGGAGCATCCTTCTATGGCAATTTGAACAAAATTAGTACAGTCCAGTAGTTTCCAGTAGCCATGTAGTTTGCTCACAATGGAGTGTTGTTTATTTTTAATTGCGTTTGGGAATTGCTTTGTTGTTTATTTTATAAAATAATATTCTTTTTCCTAACCATCTTTTCCAAATTAAAACTGAAAGATAATTTTATAAAACTTTTCATAAAAGAAATAATCTACTTTTTTCTTCACTAGGCACATTTCTGAAACTGATAAACGACTTTTAAATATTTTATTATGGAAAAGTTTAAACTTGTAGGGAGACTGTATACCCATCTTCTAGAACTTCAAACACATGAATCTTTTAAGGATTGTTTTTAAGTTTACTATATTGTGGTATTATTAAACAACTAATATGAGAAAACCTGGTGGGAAATTGAGTAGAAAAATTAATAAAATATTTTTCATACATAATTTCAGTTGAAGGTAATAAAAATTTTTAGTTTTTATTTGTGGGTAAAATATAATTGCTCTGGATAATGTAGTAATTATGGAGTGTTTTGGAAGACATGATACAATTTCTAAAAATGATTTCATAAGGATTACTTTACAGTCATCTTGATCCCATTCATTTATTTCAACTTAATTTGTATCTTTTTATTGAGGCTTAATTTAGTAAAGCAATACAAGGGGTATTATACCAAGTGGAGACCAATAATCAAGGCAGTGTGATACTAGCATAAGGATCAACAAATAAATCAATGGAATAGAAGAGAGCCTAAAAACAAATGCACATTTATATGGTTACTTGATGTTGGACAAAGGTAGCAAAGCAATCCAATGGGGAAAGAAAGTCTTTTCAACAAGTGGTGCCAGAACAGCTATATATCCAAATGGGAAAAAGGAACCATGACCCCACTGCTTTACAGGAGAACTCGAGGTGGATCACAGACGTAAATGTAATAGCTAAGGTATAACACTTACTGGAAAACAGGTGAATATCCTTGTGACTTGAGGGCAGCCAAAGGTTTCTTAGGTCACAGGATTAATAACCATAAAAGATCTAAAATTAGTATACATAAAAATCAATATTTATTAAAAATTGAAATTAAAAATCTTTGAAAGATGCAGCTTTGCACAGTGGCAGTATTGTAGCCAATGAGGTTTATCCGAAGTGATTTTTGCTAATTGAAAACTTTTCCCAGTACCCTGCGATTATGACTTGAAATATATGGCATTGGCAATTAAAAAAAAAAAGTCTTCGAAAGATGCCTTTAACAAGAGTAACTAATATCAAATGACACTTAAAAACTAGTTTTATATAACTACTGTGTCTTAAGCATAAGAATATTTTCTTACTAATCTAATTTTTTTAATAAAGCTCCTTGACTGGAATTTTCATAGCTTAAGAATGTTTTATTTCATCTCCTTCTTTGATGATTGCAAATGCATTGTGACCCTTCATGACAATTTCTTCCAATGAATAAATAAGTTAGACTTGTCCTTTTCTGTAAGTCATGAAGCTGGCAGGTGGAGAAAGTGGAGGAAGCAACAACCCAGAAATGTGTAAGTGTTAGTTAGGTATGTGGAGAGTTTTTTGTTTTTTGTTGTTTTTTTTTTTTTTTTACTGATCTGAAGGAGCTTTATTAAAAAATTGAGATCTAATTGATTAATTTTAGGTATACCACATAAAGATTTGATGTATGCATATATTGCAAAATGATCGCCACAATAAATTTAGTCAACAACCATTACCACAAATAGTTACAAACTTTTTCCTTGTGATGACAACTTTTTTTTTATATCATTAATCTACAATTACATGAGGAACATTATGTTTACTAGGCTCCCCCTTCACCAAGTCCCCCCCACAAACCCCATTTCAGTCTCTGTCCATCAACGTAGTAAGATGCTGTAGAATCACTACTTGTCTTCTCTGTTGCACAGCCCTCCACGTGCCTCCCCCTACATTATACATGCTAATAGTAATCTCCCTTTGTTTTTCCCCCTCCTTATCCCTCCCTCCCCCCCCACCCACCCTCCCCAGTCCCTTTTCCTTTGGTAACTGTTAGTCCATTCTTGGGTTCTGTGATTCTGTTGCTGTTTTGTTCCTTCAGTTTTTTCTTTGTTCTTATACTCCACATATGAGTGAAATCATTTGGTACTTGTCTTTCTTGTGGAGATTTGTTTAAAAAAGTATTTAAAAGAAAGTCTCCTTTGCTCATTTCACTTTTGCCCTTTCTAAAATCTCACTTAAAGATTGGAGAGGTGAAGGCGCTTCCATTCTGCTTTAAGCCTATTAAAATAGCCAATTCTAAGGGGTATACTTCTGCAGTTATAGACAAAGCAAGCTTGCCAACAGCTGCAGGAGCCCTGGCTTGTCTCACTTCGTATGTTTAGTTCTCAAGATAGCTGCTCCTTTGCTAGCAGAGAGCCGTCAGCTTGACTGTACCACTAGAACAGAGAAATGATTGTTGTAGGATCATGAACCATGGGGACCTGCTCCTCTATTTAGACCATTATACATGATATGGTGTTACATGCAGATTAATACATTGAGTTAATCTCCCAGTTGCCTAAAACATTTCCAGATATATAAGAAATTACTCTTTTCTCCCGTGGGAGGATTTTGTTTCTTTTGCTTGAGAAAAAAATGGCTTTTAAGGGAAAACTTAAAAAAAATACAAGAAAGAAAGATAAGCAAAAGTAAAATTGAAGTTATCCATGGATCTGCCACCAGGGATAACTACATTAATATTCAGTGTATTTTTGTGATCCTTTTTTCTCATATGTATATGTACATGTTTTTGTGTGTTAATGTTGGATTCCCTCCCCATATTCCAAAGGAGATTTATGTGGGATAAATTATTTTTAAAGTTGATACATAATTGATGATTTTTGTGTCATTGATGACTTGCAGGAAAAAAAACACTGTAGTTATTCTAAGAGGAATAGAGACTAATACTGAGAGTTTTGAACCTATTTACAAAGTTGTTTTGAACCTTACAAAGTCATTAGAAGATAGGAAGGAGTGGGCTCAAGTATGAGTCTCTAGAAATGACTCCCAGCAAAACATATTACTGGCTACCAGGGGAACTGCTGCCTCTGCAGCAGTCAAGGAGCTCACCCTCAGAATTACTGCTGTTAGAACATGTCCACCAATTGTGTTCTAGGAGTAAGGATCCTGCCACAGCTATCTGTTGATACCTAGTGACTGTACAGTGGAATGCAGAAAAATTCAGCTTCTCCATGGCTAAGCGTGCCACTCAGAATATAGCTAAAGCCACAGACAGATGGCTTCTGGCTTATTTTTTATTTTCAAATTTTTTATTAGGTTTTCTGTAAGGGAATCTGAAAAACTAGTTTTTAGCTCTCCAATCTCTGACGAGTAAGGGAAGGCATTCTAGAGGGAGGAGGCTTATATGGATATTGAGGGCAAATCCACTCAATTACACATTATTACATTTTTCTACACTAAAACAATTTTTTCTTTTTAATAATATATATTTATTTTAGGGAAATGAGAAAATACAGAAAAGAAAAAATAAAATATCTGATTCCATTACCCAGAAATGATCACTGTTAGAGTTCTCATCATGTATGTCTTAATATATCTCTCCAGAGAATGTGTTTATTTTACACCCACATATAGGTACTTCTTTTTATGAAAGTGAGATCATAAAACTGAATACATTGTTGCATGCTTTTCCCCCACAGACTTTTCTTATTAATAAATATGCTTTTTATCATATCTTTTAAAAATCATTGTTTAGTATTCCATTATCTAAATGTGCTGTAATCTAACTAACCCCCAGTAGTATGGAATGAAGCATAGAAATGAAATGGGCAAACTGGATAGTTGATTTTTAGGATGGAGTTTCATTTTCTAAACTAATGTGAATTCCTAGATCAAAAATGCATGTTTTTAATTTGTTCTTTCCCTTAACACATGGTTAACTGGCCTAAATCCAATGACAAATTCTTTACAGTTATTAGCCCAGTAGCTTAGAAGAGGAAAATTGAAGCAGGGAATTTTCTGTTTTTAATTTACAAGTTTTCTGAGATGATTGAATTTTTTCCTACCAGCAATAATACTTTTGTATTCTAAAACAAGTAAATAAACCCTGTCAATAAATTAGCTAATTATTCTTACAACAAAAGTATTGACAGGATTTCTTTCAGTATGATGCACCCTAAATGCAGTTAAATATGAACAAAACATAAAGTATTTGAATAATTATTTATTGTACAATCCTTCCTAGCAATATAGCAATGGGGTACTTGCCATTCGTGGCCATTTGCCTAACATTTAAAATATTTTATTTTATTTCTTCCCCGACTCATTTTTTTCCTTTGAATCAAAGCATCTATAACCTGGCTACTAATGTGTGGTCTGCAGACCATCAGCATCAGTAATACCTGGGAACTTGTTAGAAATGCAGAATCTCCTTGCTCTAGGCCAATGGAATAAAAATCTGCATTTTAACAGACTCCCAGTTGATTTTTATGCACATTAAAATTGAACAAGGATGACATTCACTTGTTATATTTATGGAAGTAAACATTGTTTTACTAATAAGTGGGGATTGTGCTTTATTTTCTGCACTTAAGAAATTGGTTTTAGGGTTTTAACAGTTTCAGTAGCAAAATGCATAAGTGCAATCGATTAGAAAATTCATGAGGAATACAATGCAAAACTATTCATGATATGCCAGGAACTGCTGTATTTTTGCATGATAACTAATCCTCACAAGATGTGATATCCTGCTGTTCCCATTTTTCATATGAGGATGCTAAAGCACTAAGATAGTAAGTAGCTTGCTCAAGTTAATACAGCTAGTGAGTAGTCGACCTGAGATTCAAACTCAGGCTAACAACTGGCTTCTGAATTCATACTTCCTTCTTTTTCTCTTCTTTCTGTTTTTTTCTTTTTCCCTCCCACCCTTCTTTCCTCTCCTCTCCTCCACTCCCCTTGCTTCCCCTTTTTCTCTCTCTCATTTCTTTTTTCCCCTCCTCTTCCTCCCAACTTATCACCCTGCCCTCTTTGCTCCTTTCTCCCCTCCCCATTCTTAGAGGTGAAAGTTGCATTATGGACATCATACAGTAGATGTGCTCACATGAGAAAACTCTCTGGATTATTAAAAGCTTTGCAGGAGACATTGATGACCTTTGCCGAGTTATTAAGGAATGCATAAAGTAAGTGGTA